GACCGAGGTCCACCTAGAAACGCTAGCAAGGCTAGAAAGAAAAATGACTCAAACCCCTACACAAGAACCAACGACACTAACAAAATAAAACGACCCCAACGGGGTGATATGGAACGACCCCAGACGAGGTAATGAGGAACGGCCCCAAACGAGGAAACAACCGTACGCAGACGGCTCACAGGGGTCAACGACCCAGACCAAAAAACAAACAAACACACAGAGCAAAAACAAGGACAATCTACATAACAAACTAGAAAGCAAATAAACACAACCGAGATAAACAAAAAAAGAAAGGACGCAGCCTCCCTCAACCGATGCAACTAGGTATCCAGCAGACAAACCGACTACAACGACAGCTCCAGAGCACAGAATCAACCGCCCACCACTGCATAAGGCCTAGCAAGACGGGCACCCATACTCCGGGACCAACCGAAGAGCTGGCCTGCACTCCATACACGTGACTAGCAGACACGGCTCGGCTTCACCGAGTCAGCCCGCCTGAAACTGCATTCAATCGACCCTGCCCGAATCAGCTGAACACAACCAATCAATCGAGCTCTAACCGGAGCAGGACTCTGACCCCAGCAGAACCATCGACCCCAACAAGAATTCACATAACAGCTCGCCAAGAACAAACCGAGAGAATCTTCCGATTCAAGACAAAATTGAATACCGAGACTAAAGCAGCAATCTCAAGGGCTTACCTCCGGTTGATTCAACCTGGTGTCGAACAAGAGGAAGCCGCAGGCAATCGCCACTTCGCCGGCGAAAAGGCGCAGTCTTAATCGGCGCAAGAAGGGCAAGCAGGGAGATTGAGCACCGTCCCAGCCAAAGCCGATAACAGCTAACCCAGCCTCGTCCATGGCCGAGCACCGCACTCCGACAATCTTCTACTGAACCTGGACTCCGGCGAACAATTGGGAGGGGAAGCCACTCCTTTGGCCGACGCGCGAACAGGTCACAGACGCAGCAAAAGAGCCGAAGGCCTGCACCGCCATGGACGAGCGACGGAGGCCGTCTACCGCCGGACCTGGAAGTCCGGCGAGGGAGAATCTACCGGCGGATTTGACGAGGTCGGCTCGCTAGGGTTGCGGGGCGGAATTTTGGGGCAGCTGTACCGGCGGACTAAGAAAATCCTTGTCCCAGTTTGGTCAATTCTAATATTATTTAGTTATTTATTTGGTAAAAAAAGCCGAACTCGAGCTGAAATAATCAAAATATTATATTTTGTGAAAATGCTAATTGATATGTTAATGTGCAATCTCTAACACATTAATGTGCATCTGGTCTAACAATAGTGTGCATCCTGACAATCAATAATACGCATCATGAGTTATATTAACATAAAATTGAACCGAAACAGTTGGATTATTCGGTTGATTAATCGGATTAACAAAAATAAATGAAATAACTTATTATTTATATTATAAAAATATATTCACTATTTTAATTTTTTTTTATTTTTTATAACAGTGTTTTTGGAAAAAAAAATTAATATATATGTATAAAAATATGTTGTTGTATATATATTAAATAATATTTATTATATTTTTTATAATTTACAAATTTAACCCATAACAAGATAAAGATAATATTTTTATAATTCGATTGATTAGGTTATTTAAAAAGAATTGACATCAAAACCGAAATATTAACAAAGACCTAAAACAAATAAATAAAGAAATAATATTTTGTATAGTTCGATCGATTAGGTTATTACAAAAAAATTGACATCAAACCGAAATATTCAAAAAAGTTAAAATTAAGAACATATATTCGAATAAAAATATATTTGGAACCAAAAAATTTTTCAGTTTGATGTGTAATCCGTCTAACACTAATGTGCAATATGTCTAACACTAATGTGCACTCGAGTGAAGTTATTATTTCTTTTTTTATGTTTTGTATCAACCCA